ACAAGTGGGGGAGGTGCAGGGAGAGAGGGGAACAGAGGATCCGAAGCGGGCTCTGCACTGATAGCAGAGAACCCGACGTGGGGCTCAAACTCAGGAACCACGAGGTCATGACCTGAGCTGAGGTCAGATGCTCAACCGACTGAGCCACCCAGGTGCCCCCGAGTCCCTATAAATTTTTATGGCATGGTCATGTTTTTCAAAACCCGAGAGTAGGGAAATTGATACGCTCTTCAACTTAGGATAAAATAATACAATTTTGCATATTATTATTTTAGGGAAGCTTCCAGGAGGGACAAAAGAACAGAAAACAATGATTTAAGTCCTGGGGATGTGACATACAGAATGGTGGCTACCGCTAATAATATTGCATTGCATACTGGACACTTGCTAAGAGAGGAGATCTTACAAGTTATCATTAAAAAAACTGTAACTATCTGTGAGGATGGATATTAACTAGACTTATTGTGGCAATCATTTCACAATATATACAAATACCAAATCATTTTGTTGTACGCCTGAAACTAATACGTTATGTGTATTATGCCTCAATAAAATTAATCAATTATACCTCAACAAAAAAAAATTTATAATTTAATTTTTAAAAAAGAAAAACAATGATTGGCATCTACAGAGTTCTCTAATTTGCAGTACCAATGCGAACGCCCTCTGGAGAACCAGTGCCCAGACCTATATGGGAACCAACAATTTAGAAAAATCAACTTCCATTATAGTGTATGTCTCATGAGTTCACAGAGGCAGTAGGGATCAGTAACTAAAATTCTCTTGAAAATTATATGCACTTCTGTTGTAGGGTTAGGTTTTCTCCCCCCCCCCTCCTGTTCTTTCTCATTAAGGATTTTTAAGGCAAGATGATTTTTAATTTCTGAATATCATAGAAACTTATTACTTGCAGATGACAGCAAGGCAGTTTTTGATTTCCATGTCTGACCTTATGAACTCATGCTTTATTCTCTTTCTCTCTTATTGGTTTGAAAATTGCAAATCCTCTGCCTCCCCATGTCCTCAAGTCAAAACAGTCCTGGATAGAAAGTGATTATACAAAGTTTATTCTAAAATCAAAAGTTAAATAAGACCTCCTATGGTTTTTGTTTAGTTAAAAACAACTTACTGAATCCCATTTCTGATTAGGAATTTGAAAGTGCAAAATGCCAACATCCTGTGTTGGGATCATAATTTCCACTTTGCATAGGAAAAATTTGTATCCGTTAGCACTGAAATATAATTTCTCCTCCACCTAAGAATGTCCTTGCCTTTCTCATCCTGGGCCCCTGCTGCTCTTGTAGTGACCACCCCATCTCCTCATCTCCAGCCTTTCTTCTTGTCCTTTCCCTACTCAGCTTACAGAAACCTTATCTTTCAAACCTTCTTCTGCATAGGATACTATTAACCGCTTCCTGCAACAGTTGCATCCCTTGGCCTCCCCCAAAAACCTTCTCCCCTGGTTCTCTTCTAGCCTGTTGGCCTGCGTCTTCTTAGAATTGTTCTTGGGCTTCTTATCCGCCCCTGTACCTCTGCATTCCATCCTTGGGCCCCACCCCTCCCCCACCAACTTCACTCTTTCAGAGAAATGTTTTGCAAGATCATAACTCCAGCCATACCCACGTGCCTTCTGCCATCTTAGCCATCCCTGCTGCACTCTGGACCCGAGGGGTGCAGCGTACGTGTTCGTCTGGATGTCTAATAGCCACGCCAGTCCCAACATGTCCAAAACACTGTCTCCATGATCCCCAGAACGTGCTTCTCTAGAATTCCCCACCTCAGTAATGCTGGTGCCCATCCACTCAGTTCCCCAAGCCAAAAGGGCTCCCCCCCAATCCTCCCTCTTCTTCATCAAGATCTCCAATTTGTCACCAACTATCCCGTTCTGCTTCCTGAGCTGCCCTTAACTTTGTCTTCCTCTCTCCATCCCCACAGCGTTGGTTCAGAGCCTCCTTGCCTCCCACTTGGACTCTTGCAACAAGCCCTTATCACCCTCCTTGCTTCCTGCTCTCCTCCCGCCATTCTTGCCTCACGTACCACCTGCCCCTAAAACACACACCCAATCATAACTCTTGCTTAAATGGGATCTTCTGAATACAATTCCTTGGCTCAAATAGGAAAATTCTTTACCACCTAGACTTTCTCTCATTCCTATCTGATTTCCACCTGTCCACCCTGCCCCAAATACCCTTCTCTCCTCTTTTCTGAACGCGCACTGGTCTTGTCCTCATCTGCCTAGCTCACTCTTTCTCACCCTTCAAGGTTCATTCTGAGCACCACCGTCTCCAGAATCCTCCAACAGAGCTAGCTCACCAGGATCAACAGCTCCAGGGATTTATAAGAATCACCTCCTTCCCACTCCCCTCCTCTGCCTCCAGAGGGTGGGATTGGAGATACACAGCTTGTCAGTAATGGAGCGCAGGTAAACATGCAGGTCCTCACAGGTGACAGGGACTGCAGGACTCCTGCTCCTGCTGGAGGCACAAAACCCCAAACACCTCAGCACCCAGCCCAAGTAGAACAAAAATTCCAGCCACCTCAATTTGGAAATAGCATGTAGAAATTTGGCCTTCCCAGAATTTACCAGATACACATTACTGACTGCTTTGCTTTTAGAGAATTCTGAGATTCTTGACAAAGATTTTCATGGCAACATGTACCTCTGTGGCTTATCCATTACTTAAAGTGAAATGCCTCCGTTAAATCCTGCACATAATGTCCAATAAACTGATGTTTATTGAGCATCTATAGGCCAGTGCCCAGTGCCTGAGACATGAGAAATAGAGTATAGCCTATGCATTAAATTAAAATCAGCAAGGAAGTACAATTCAAGAAGTATCATCCTACACATGGGTACACAGAAAATGGAGGTGAGTTGTCCATTTATTTCCATACTGGATCCAATCAGAAAATATGATTTGACAGGTAGAATGTCATCAGTTTAATGAATACTTCCCAGAAAGATGCATCTCCTATAGGAAAAGTTACCCATTATAAATTGGCAAACCTAGAAACTAGTTTAAAAATAGCTTAATGGATGGAATCTGCAAGATTCTGCTTTATAAGCAGGAAGTAATTTAGGGAGAAGAATGTTATAGAGATATGCTTGTCCATGTGTTGCTAACACTGAGTCTTTGAGATAATCTAGACACAGGGAGCTTTGTCTGAAGCCATTTCAGGGCTTGCTTAGTTTAGGGTCAGGTGTTGTAAATGTCTATAAGAAATGTCTTCCCAAGTTCTGAGAAAATGAAAACAGTCCAATCACTGCTGCAGGAAGATTGTTTTAAGTTCTTAGGGGCAAAAAAAAAAGCTTAAATTTTATTACCAGTAAAATTGATGCATTATTACTACCAAGCTGTTTCACTGCAGTTGTTTGTTATTTAAATGAGTAATTTATGGATTAGGCGGTGACTTCTGAGAAAATGCAATGTAGATAAACTGACTTCAATGCTGATCTTCTACCACAATTTAAAGACATTGCTGTTGGGGCGCCTGGGTGGCGCAGTCGGTTAAGCGTCCGACTTCAGCCAGGTCACGATCTCGCGGTCCATGAGTTCGAGCCCTGCGTCGGGCTCTGGGCTGATGGCTCAGAGCCTGGAGCCTGTTTCCGATTCTGTGTCTCCCTCTCTCTCTGCCCCTCCCCCGTTCATGCTCTGTCTCTCTCTATCCCAAAAATAAATAAACGTTGAAAAAAAAAAATAAAAATAAAGACATCGCTGTTGTGTTTTTTGCAGAATTGTACAAATATCGAGTGCTTACAAATCTCCTGCGTGGTGGGGCGACTAGAAGGAGGAGAAAGTGCCGTCCTAAAAGTCAGATCACGGTTATGGGCCAAGACCTTCCTCCAGGTAACAACACTGACTCATATGCACACACCCTGCAGGGAACCTCTTCTCAAAAGCTCAGCAGGAAGCTTTTCTAGAAAGGATTTTTAAATGTTGTCATTTTAAAATTTAAAACAAATTGAATTTTTTTCATTTGAAAATTTTGATTTAATTTTTAACTTAAAATTTTTATGAATATTTTTAAGTGTTTCAATTTTAAAACATTTTTAAGAGAAGTGTCTATGAAGGAGTTGAGCCGGTATCAGCCGGTCGTCTTTCCCATCAGCTGAAGACATTATTTTTTCCAGCTTTATTGAGATATTGTTGACATACAATGTATGTAAATTTCAGGTGTACAAGGTGATGATTTGATACACGTATACATTTGGGAATGACTACGACACTGAAGTTAGTTAATACCTCCAACCCCTCACGTAATTACCTTGGCATGTTTGTGGAGGGCAGGTGGTTAACTTTTAAGATCTACTCTCTTAACAGCTCTCAAGAACACAAGACCGTATTGTTAATTATACATCAGATCCTCAGAACTTATTCATCTTATCGCTGGTAGTTTGTACCGTTTGACCAACTTGTCCCCAATTACCCCACCCAGCCCCTGACGACCACCAATCTGATCTACTCTATTTCTGAGTTCTGCTTTTTTAGGTTTCACATGGAAGTGATTTCACACAGTATTTGCCTTTCTTTGTCTACCTTATTTCACTTAGCATAATGTCCTCCAAGTCCAGCCACGTTGTCACAAAAGACAGGACTTCCTTTTTATGGCTCAGTAATATTCCTTCACCAGATTTGAGGTGAAGACCATTTAAATACCCTGTGTCCCTAAGACCTTTAGACAGTAACTCAGATTCAAATAAATCTCTTTAGCTCACCTCTTTATACCCAGTGCCCAGCACACAGTAGTTCTTCAGTAAATATTAGCCAGTGGGATGATGGTGAGTGTAAGAGCACAGTGCAAGCCACAGGCCCAGGAGGGTCAAAATAGAACCCAATTAAGAAGGGAGAAGGGAGGGGCGCCTGGGTGGCGCAGTCGGTTAAGCGTCCGACTTCAGCCAGGTCACGATCTCGCGGTCTGTGAGTTCGAGCCCCGCGTCAGGCTCTGGGCTGATGGCTCAGAGCCTGGAGCCTGTTTCCGATTCTGTGTCTCCCTCTCTCTCTGCCCCTCCCCCGTTCATGCTCTGTCTCTCTCTGTCCCAAAAGTGAATAAACGTTGAAAAAAAAAAAAAATTTAAAAAAAAAAAAAAAAAAGAAGGGAGAAGGGAGATTGCCCTAGAAAGTTGCAGTTGTTTAGTGTTCCTACAGTCTGGGTTCCAGCCAGGAGGCATCTCGGTGAAGAGACACATATGTGTGATTCATAGATTCTTCTTCGCTGCTTCGGCCTCTCTGTACTGTGGCATCCCACACTGCTGCAGATAATTCTGGTGGTTGTGTGCATTGTCAAGGTTTTAAATCTCTTTTATACTAAGCAGATTAATTTCTCCGTTTGGAAAGAGCCGTTTATTTAAATGAGACTACTTTGTGACCTTGTTGTTTAGAAAGGATTTAGAAAGGGGGAAATGAGCTAAAATAAAAACCCCACCAAGTCTATACGTTCTTGCTCATATTTTAACTACTAAAAAATTCATTTGGTTCATTGTGCATAGAAAATCAAATGGTAGTGGGGCGCCTGGGTGGCGCAGTCGGTTAAGCGTCCGACTTCAGCCAGGTCACGATCTCACGGTCCGTGAGTTCGAGCTCGTCAGGCTCTGAGCTGATGGCTCAGGAGCCTGGGAGCCTGCTCTGATTCTCTGCCTCCTCTCTCTCTCTGCCCCTCCCCTGTTCACTCTGGTTCTCTCTTGTCCCAAAAAAGAAATAAAAAACGTTGAAAAAAAAAAAAAAAAAAAAGAAAATCAAATGGTAGAATCCTGTTGAGTGTAGCTATTAAAATATAGAATTTCATACCTCGGGATTTTCACGTTTTCTGTGATTGAAAATACCTCCATAGTCTCATAAATCTTATTTAATTTAAATAAAAAGAAGATAAATAGAAAGTTAAAGGTATTTTTTAAAAGGTCGTGAAGTTTTTGTTTTTTAACTTAAGGCAGGATTTCTTTTTTTTTTTTAATGTTTATTTATTTTTGAGAGAGAGAGAGACAGACCACTGGTTGGGGAGGGATAGAGAGAGAGGGAGACAGAATCCAAAGCAGGCTCCAGGCTCCGAGCTGTCAGCACAGAGTCCGACACGGGGCTCAAACTCCCAAACGGTGAGATCATGACCTGAGCTGAAGTTGGACGCTCAACCGACTGAGCCACCGAGGCGCCCCCCTAAGGCAGGATTTCTTAATCTCAGCATTAATATCTTGGATAATTCATTGTTGTGGGGGGCCCTGGCCTGTGCATTATAGGATGCTTAGAAGCATCCCTGGCCCCTGCCCACTAGATGCCAGTAGCAACCCACACCCCACTTGTGACCACCAACAATGTCTCCAGACATTGGCAATAGCCCCTGGGGGCAAAATCACCCCAGTTTTGAATGCCTAAACCAAGGAGAAGTGCAGTACCCAATTTATTTGATTTTGTTTAAGCTAAACCATTATTTATCCATTCACTCAACAAATATCATGGAGTACCAACTATGCACCAGGCACTGCTTTCTAGTAGCATGTATTTTCCATCAATTTGCTCATGGTCCCTGTACTTTGGGGCTGTTACTTCTGATCTCAGCATTGAGGAGTTGAGAGGAGGAGTCTTGCTGAATTCCCAAGCCCATGTGCTCTCAATGATGACCATCCATCCCTTCTATTACTTTGGGTATCATCACATCCTACTGAAACAAGGGAGAATAACTTCGGTGGAGCAGAACTAAAATCATTACAACACCACAGTCAAGGGAAACATGATTGTTTTCGATGTCGTGTGTCAGTTCTGTGATGTTAATCTATTCCAGCAGGAGGACTTCAGAGGGAAAGTTGCATCTTGGGGCTGGGCTTCCAGGTAGGTCAGTAGGTTAAGTGTCCAACTTCGGCTCAGATGACAATCTCACAGTTCATGGGTTTGAGCCCCGCATCAGGCTCTGTGCTGACAGCTCAGAACCTGGAACCTGCTTAGGATTCTGTGTCTCCCTCTCTCTCTCTGACCCTCCCCTGCTCACTCACACACACACACACACACACACACACACACACACACACACACTCTCTCTCTTTCAAAAATAAACATTAAAAAAAAAAAAAAGAAAATTCCATCTTCATTTTCCTGTTAAGGATGACCCAGTAAGTCTGGAAGAAGTCAGTACCAATTGAGGAAGTTTGCAAACTATAAATATTTACCACAAGCAGAGTCAAACCAGAACAATCTGCAGGGACGTTCTAAAGTCCTATCGGAACAAAGTACCACTTTGATACCAGATACCAGAGAGAGTGGCCCAAGTCACCAGCATTTACCCTCAGCCATAGCCCAAATTTCGGTACCCACCCCCCACCCCAGTTTCTGCTTATTCCTGTCTTGGAATGTGACTGCCAAAGAGGAGTGTTTTATTGCAATCTCTCTCTCCCTCCCTTCCTCCCTCCCTCCTCACCCTCCCAAAGAATATACTGTATACTGGAGGTCATGCAATCCAGAAGGAGGTAAACATTTTCTGCCTTCCTAATCCAAACTAGAAAGTTTACAATTCTTGCATGACATGATTTGCTGCATTGTGTTTGTTTCTGTCCACTTGGTGAACGTGCAAACTGGTCAGAAAAAGATTTTATTTAGGTTAATCCTGAATGACACCCTGTCCTGTGACTGTGGCTTAAAACAATCCTTCACAGTGTAAGATTTTACCAGTAAAATCTTTGTCGTCTCACAAGGCTTTGTTTCTGGTAAATGTTGAGAACTTACACATGGGCTGTGTGGTCAAAAACAATTCTTGAGAAGGAATTAAGCAGTGGGAAGGTGGGAAGGAAAGATGTTACTAGCCACACTCTGTATTTAACCAGTTCAAAAGCCTCACTGTCCGTTTGTTACCAACTAGAGGACTTTTATTAGTACCAAGACCATAAGCAAATCATTGTGCGCAAGTGAATAACAGAGGCAGCTAGTGAGCTGAAAACCAGGGTATAAATGACGCAGCCATAACAGGAATAGGGCATTTTCTGAGGATTAACTGCTAGCTGGGGCAGCTTGAAGGTCTGAGATATTGTTGAGGGATATTAACTCCAGCTGCTTTTTCAAGCCTATTGCAGCTACATGAATAGATTGCTATATGGAAGAAGAGATTTTTTGTTTTGGTTTGTTTTTTGAGAGCGATAGCAGGGGAGAGGGGGACGGAGAGGCAGGGGGCAGGAGAGAGAGAGAGAGAGAGAGATTGTGCAGAGCCCGATGTGGGGCTCCATCCCATGACTGTGAGATAGTGACCTGAGCCGAAATCAAGAGTCAGACGCTTAAGCAAGAGCCACCCAGATGCCCCATGATTTATTTTAATAATAAGAATAATGGGGGCGCCTGGGTGGCTCAGTTGGTTGAGCCACCGACTTTGGCTCAGGTCATGATCTCACCGTTTGGGAGCTCGAGCCCCGTGTCGGGCTCTGTGCTGACAGCTCAGAGCCTGGAGCCTGCTTCTGATTCTGTGTCTCCCTCTCTCGCTGCCCCTCCCCCACTCGTGCTCTCTGTCTCAGAAATAAACATTAAAAAAATTTTTAATAACAAGAATAATGTAGTTATGTAAAGACCATGGCTGAAAGCATTCACCTTTAAACATGGAATGAATCTGCTCCCAACTATTGTTCACGAATTAAATACTTACCTGCACCATGCCTTTGACTTGCATCCACAAGAGGAGCGAATCTTTGGTGCGCCTAGCTGATCGAAGCCTAATAGCTGACGTTTCTCATTCCTTAGTGCTCCAGAGCATCTTAGAAAAATGGGCAAAAATACATTTTCCTACTGAAAAGAGTGGCAGAAACCTTGTTTTGGAGAATAAAGAGTAGATCAGGGGCGCCTGGGTGGCTCAGTCAGTTGAGCGTCCAACTCTTGATTTCAGCTCAGGTCATGATCCCAGAGTTGTGGAATCCAGCCCCACACTGGGCTCCACGCTGAGTGTGGAGCCTGCTTAAGGTTCTCTCTCTGTCTCTCCCTATGCCCCTCTTCCCTGCTCACAATCTCTCTCACAAAAAGAAAGATAAAAAAATTAAAAAATCACCAAGTGCACACAAAATTTTATTAGCCAGGTTTTCCACATTAAAGAAATTTTTTTTAACTTTTATTTATTTTTAAGACAGACAGAGACAGAGCACAAGCAGGGGAGGGACAGAGAGAGAGGGAGTCACAGAATCTGAAGAAGCCTCCAGGCTCTGAGCTGTCAGCACAGAGCAGGAAGCAGGGTTCCAACTCACAGGCTGTGAAATCATGACCTGAGCCGAAGTCAGACACTCAACCAACTGAGCCACCCAGATGCCCCAAGGTTTTCCACGTTTTAAAAAACACCTCTCACATAAACAAACAAAAAATCCAGCTTTCGGGTAAAATGGAAAAGCCAGGAGACAGCAGACACCAAAAAAAGAATTTTTTCCAAATGAATAAAGTTGCTTATCCTGGAATGTTAGGGTAGAAACAAAGAAAAAGTCAAAGATAGAGTGACTTCAAGTATTTAAAAGTTTTGCATGGTCTAGCCTATGCTTATCATCTAGAGGAAATGGGGTTTATTAAAGGGAGGGAAAAAATTCAGCCACAGGGGAAAAAAAAAAGAACTTTGTAAAAAAAAATGTAAACAAAATTATTACAATCCAACCTGATGGACTGGCCGCAAACAACCCAACACTGGATTATAGGTGGGGAAGTGCTCGTGAATGTTTAATAAACTGCTCTGGGGGAGCGGGAGAAAAGCTCCAATATGTAGCATTTGCTGATTCCCATGGTGTAAATATCCCCACCATGGCCGATTTCAAGCTGCCAACACAATGTCACCAAATACGGAATTGGGAGGTGAGGCTCCTGTACACCATCACGTAGTATTTCCACTCCCAGGTCCAATAGACCTAAATAATATCCAGAGCACAGATACCAGTAAAATATAATAAAATAATTAAGAAACAGTGAGCTTTGAGTGTGTATTACCTTTTTAAAAATATAATTTTCTGAAGGTTATGTATATTTAAACTTTAATAATGGTTCTGTTTAACTAGTGATACTCAAAACTGCTGAAATTTTAACACTCTGCTCTCAAGAGCCTTGCGAGCCAATTACAGCCCAAGACTGGATAGCTGTAATCACTGTCTCAAGTTAAATGGAGGAGAACCACAGAGGCTTACATTCTCAAAATGGCTCTCCTTGACTTGCTCTTAAATAATTTCCTTTGGCTTTAATCAAGAGTTAATGTGAGAACCAATTAAACAAACAGACAAAAACTTATGCTGAAAAGTTCTCTCAAAAACGCTATGGCTCTAAGTCTGTGGTTCTTAACCAAGGGGATTTTGCTTCCCAGGGACATTGGCAATAATTACAGATATTTTTGGTTATCACACCTGGGGTTGAGGTGCTACTGGCATCTAGCGGGTAAAGACCACAGCTGCTGCTATACATCCTGCAGTGTTCAGGACAGTCCCGCGTTCAACCCAAATCCTAACAGTACGGAGACTGAGAGAGCCTTCCCGGGTCTTCTGATAAGATGAAATGTGATCAATTCCTTTATAATTTAGTACCAGTCTCTCTCCTAAAACGGTTCCCTCTATCATATAATAAGAGTTTTGTAACTCACTATACCTGCCTTTTGTTCTTCACTCGCAGCAACTGTAGTAATCCTTGTGCTGGATTACTAAACTCCTTTTAGGGACTCTGATGTTCTGCTTTTATTCTAACATCATTGTACCAAGTCTTTTGTTAATAAGCCAAATTCTTTTTAGAACTAAGAAGAGGATGGATTGTTGGGGGGACGGTTAGATGGACAGTTGCATGGATATCTACAAAGATATCAGGATGGATGGATGGATGGATGGATCATTGGATGGGGAAAAATTTATTTAAAGAGAGAAAAAGAAGAAAGAAAGAAGGTGGAATTTTGCTTTGGAAATGGGAGACACTGAAAACAGTGGCTGCCATTGTAACTTCTAAAAGATTTACATGGAATATATTTAAATATATATTTTTAATTTCAGAGAAAAAATGATCCCTATTCTCTTGCATCCCTGGTGTCCTTCAAAGTTAAGAAGATGCCTTATCAAGATCAGCCAGCAAAACTCCCAGAGGGGAGCATAGGAGTAAGTATCTGAAAAATATAGACGCACAATTTCACTGAACTAATCATTTTTTAAATCACTATTCAACTTGTGCTACATTTAAGTGCTCATTACATTAACTTGAGAAACTTGAGAGTGCAGGACTGATACCACTTTTCTTTAAGTTTATTGATTTATTTTGAGAGAGAGAGAGAAAGCAGGGGAGGGGCAGAGAGAGAGGGAGACAGAATCTCAAGCGTGCTCAACGCCGTCAGGGAAGAGCCTGAGGCGGGGCTTGAACTTCCTGAACCATGAGATCATGACCTGAGCCGAGATCAAGAGTTGGATCCTTTATCACCTAAGCCACCCAGGTGCCCCAGACTAGTATCACTTTTTAATCAAGCCATTTTGTTTGAAAGGAGTCCAGATAGCAATGATCATTATAATGAAATTGCCCCGATTGTTTAATTCTGTTTATTTATTTACTTATTTTCTGATTGTTTAACTTTAAGGACAGCATGGTGAGTGAGGTGGGGAGGAAGGAGTCTCTTCCTTAGGGACAGCTGGATGACCTTAGACAGTCATCTTTCCTTTCTAGGCAAAGAACTATAATTTTCACCTGAAAAGAAAAGTACACTATGAGCTTCATTTGAATGAAATGTTATTTTCAAATTGAGGCTATTAAACCTTACTGACAGCCAACTCATACCTGCTGAGTTAGAATCTTCATTTTCTCAAAATCATCAGGGCATCGTGTACCCAGAACAATTTGAGAAGCACTGTTGTGGATGGTATATAAGTTGATACTATCATAATGTGTCTTATCAGCCTAGGTCTTAAATGTAATTACAAAATTTAATCTTTCTATAGCCTGATCTACTTTTAGTCATTTAAACTAGATGAATCCATTGATTAGTGATTTGCAACTCTTGAGTATGCAAAGAAGCATCACTCATGTGACTTTAAAGATAGAAACATGCTAAGCCCTCACCCCAAACATCAGGATTCAGTAGGTCTGGCACTGTGCTTTAAAAGCGCCTGGGTGGCTCAGACAGTTAAGCATCCAACTTGTAATTTCGGCTCAGGTCGTAATCTCGCAGTGGTTAAGACTGAGCCCCACGGTGGGCTCTGTGTTGATGGTGTAGAGCCTGCTGGGATTCTCTCTCTCTCTCTCTCTCTCTCTGCCCCTGCCCTGTGCTCACTCTTTCTCTCAAAAAAAAAACAAAACAAAAAACCCCCAAAACATTGAAAGCACTGAGAATCTCTAGCATCTAGTCTGGCAGCACGGAGCAAGACCCACATTTCCAATGTGTTTCAAAACACATTCTCTGGGGGGCGCCTGGGTGGCTCAGTCGGTTAAGCGTCCAACTTCAGCTCAGGTCATGATCTCACGGTCCGTGAATTCAAGCCCCGTGTCGGGCTCTGTGCTGACAGCTCAGAGCCTGGAGCCTGTTTCAGATTCTGTGTCTCCCTCTCTCTGCCCCTCCCCTGTTCATGCTCTGTCTCTCCCTGTCTCAAAAATAAATAAAACGTTTAAAAAAAAAATTGAAAAACAGTTTAAAAAAAAACACACATTCTCCGGGCTTCATCCTGGCTCCGCCCACTCTAAGAAACTTTCAGGAAATCACTCTGCTTCGCTGGGGCTGTTAACCATATTCACCTGAAAGCATTGTCGAGAAGGTTAATAAAATGATGTCTGAGGAGCCCAAGCATTACACCTAGAACAAGGTATTCAAGTCAGTAATAGCAACCCTCCCAAAATGCCTTACCCTCTCCCTCTAGGTTGAGGAAGCCCAAACTGGAAATGTCAAAGTATTTGAGTAAACTTTGGTGGCATTTGAAAGTAAGCACTGCCACATCTTTCTTTATGTGGCTCATCTCTCTTTCCTTAGCAAGATGTCTACCATAGTTTGGATTTATGTTCAACCTAGAAAACAGAGGCTTTGGGTTTTTAATATAGGATGTTCTTCCGAAGAGGTTCAAAGGCTTGTTGCTCTAAGGGAGATAAATCTGGGTCCCTTTGTTTTCTCCGAGCATGTGTTTCATAAAAGAAACATATGTTACAGTCAGTCCCATCAACAGTATTGTGTCTTTCTGCACTGGCCACAGGTGACAGCCTGCTGTTCTCAACCCATCTCAAAAGATCCACAAAATCATCAGATACATGTGCTTCCCCCATCCCCACCACTCCTGTCATTGCATTTTTCAAAAGCCTTGTTATCTGGGGTGAATGATTTACCACATCATGGATATGAAGGTTATTGGGAAAACATTTCGGAATGAAGGTTCTCTGAGGTCTCGCAGATCTGCCCCACCTCACGCTCAAGGGAAATGATTTTCCTGTGGCTTGCTTTGAGAGGACTGGGCTTTGGGCTGGCTGATGTTTTCTTCTAGCAAGTTCTTCTCAAAGGTCCTTCTTATATGGAAAAGAAAGCAGAAGAGAATTGCTTTAAGGCGCTAAATCAGTTGGAATGGGTAGTTGGGAATCATAACTATGAACCCCAATCCCTACTCTGCCATTGGGTAAACCTTCTTGGATACTTTTTTTGTGACGAGACTAGAGACTGGTGGCTTGTTTTCCTAGGCCCTTGTGCGGGTTGATTAGTTTGTTTGTACTTCCTTGGCAACAAGGTCATGATTCAGCCATTTTTTCGAGCCCGGTGTGAGCTTCTTCGAAGAAGAGAGCAATCCCCATTTGCTACCTGCAGGATGTCTGTTTGTGACAAATGAACTCATGAAGCATGACTCTTGCCGTGTTCAGAGGTGAGGGAAAGGTTGCATGAGGCAAGGAATAGACTGAACACAGAGTCATTACAGTGCAGCAGAGAAAAAAACAGGATTCAGTTATTTGAACACTTTGCTTAATAATCATCTTTGGCATTTGTATGTGGTGCCACTAAAGCCAAATTCTATAATTTACATCCAGAAAGGGAATATTATTGTCTAGAAACTCCAACTGTAGTTATTAGAAACTAGTTAATGAAAATCTTTCCTTAAACCTCATACAGGGGTGCCTGGGTGGCTCAGGTCACTATCTTGCGGTTTGAGTTCAAGCCCCGCATCGGCCTCTGTGCTGACAGCTCAGAGCCTGGAGCTTGCTTTGGATTCTTTGTCTCCCTCTCGCCCTCTCCCCCGTCCATGCTCTGTCTCTCTCTCTCTCAAAAATAAACATTAAAAAATATTTTTAAAGAAAAAACCTCACACAGAAACTGTAAATCCATTTCATTGCTAGCACAGCTTTAGAACCTTAAAATAGAGTTATTATATTCAACAATTATTTGTGGAGTTCAAACTGCTTATCTCATAGGGGCCATTGAAATGTTAAAATGTGTGTTCAGCTGGTCCACTTTATGTTATTATTTAATTCTAAATGGCACCATAGGTAGGGTATCTTGGTACATTTAAACCATTCTTGCGACCCCTATGAAGTATGTTTACACAAGATTTTGTGAGACATAAATACAGATGTCAGCATTAATTACAGTTGCAAATACAAGGGAGCTTTTTCCTTCTACCTTGGTATTTTGTCAAATATACAAAAACATATCATAAACGTCAATGATAAAATGTAGGCATATTAAAAAGTTATATATGGTCCTTCAACCGTAATAAAGAACGAGATTTATGACATGATGAACGTAAGATTAAATGTTCCCTACTTAGCATCACTTTAAGAAAGTTTAAATTCCATTTATAATTTATGGATCTCACTTCCTAAGATTGCAGATAATTATAATAAGTGAATTGTTAAAATTTTATACTATTTCTTTAAATAGCTACAGGTTCTTGATAAAGATGAATTGAAACAGTTTGTTGTTTGGTTGGCACACACTTAAGTTTTTCACCCTAAATTTTAAGTACTTCAGTTAGTCAACATTACCCTTCTTTCTTTTATTTTTTAATGTTTTTTTTTAATTGATATTTGAGAGAGAGAGAGAGAGAGACAGAGCATGAGTGGGGGAGGGGCAGAGAGATGGAGAATCTGAAATAGGCTCCAGGCTCCAGGCTACGAGCTGTCAGCACAGATCCCGACACAGGGCTCAAGTTCACAAGCAGTGAGATCATGACCTGAGCCAAAGTCAGACGCTTAACCGCTTACCCGACTGAGCCACCCAGGTGCCCCTGCCCTTCTTTCTGAAAGCAGCTGAAATATATAATCACTTGCATTTTTAAAGGAAACCTTTAGTCCTCAATACACCCTTTCTGCCATCGGACCACCTTCTAGATGAAGGATTCTTACAAGGAGGGGCTTAGGTAATCGGGCAAATCACACCTTTGTGTGAGGCTATACAGAATGTTCTAGAACTGTGTAGTCCAGTATGGTAGCCATCAGCCACAGGTGGATAGTGAGTACCTGAGATGTAGCCACTGTGACTGAAGAAGTAAACTAGAAGTTTGACTTCATGTTAACTCATTTAAATGTAAACCTAAAAACTATAGCAGTCTAAGATTTTTTGTCCATTAAATGCAGCTATATTTTTTTGGTGAGGCTACACTTTGCTTTTACCACTGAAAATCTGGTTTGTTGTTATATGCTGCAAATATCAAATACACACTGGATTTTGGAGACTTTGTTAAAAAGAAAAAGAATTTAAAATGTCTTGTGGAGGGGCACCTGGGTGGCTCAGTCGGTTAAGCATCTGACTTGAGCTGAGGTCATGATCTCACGGTTTGTGGGTTCGATCGAGCCCCACGTCAAGCTCTGTGCTGACAGCTCAGAGCCAGGAGCCTACTTCACATTCTGTGTCTCCCTCTCTCTTTGCTTGGGCTCTGTCTCTCAAAAATGAATAACGTTAAAAAAAATAAAAAATAAAAATAAATAAAATGTCTTGTGGATATTTTTATATCAACTACATGTTGACATAATAGTTTGGATATTTAGGGTTAAATAAATTCTTAAAATTAATGTCTCATCTTTCTTTTTCCTCTTTCAAAAAATTCCTAAGTTACACATGTGGCTTGCATTATATTTCTGTTGGACAGCACTGATCTATTGCAGGGTTATACAAGGTTCCAGTTTGGAGCTGGTGATAATAGCTACAGAGCTCCAGAGAACATTGGGGTGTTAAATAAGTCTTATTTGAAATGAGTGAAAAATTATTACAGTAAATTAGTGTTTAGTCATGACAAACTCTGACAATTAAGACCTATTTTTCTTACTATTTATTTTCCAATGGATAATGTAAGCTTCTTGTGGGCTTATCAAAATGAGCTGCAAGATGAACATAAACAATGAGTAACAAAGCTTCAGTATTTTCCAACATTTTATTTTGTGCCAAGCTTTCCCAAACCATTCTGAAATTTCCATAGCACTGATACAGATTTAAATAAGCTTTGGTCATATAAAAGTAGTCAATTAAGTCTTTCCCTAGTAAGTTTGCCTGTGCAGTTCAAGTTTCTAATTTATACAAAGCATTGAGTTTCACGAAAGGCTGGGCTTTACCTATTTCCACCCACGGATGAAATGCCCCCATTGCCATTTATAGACATGAATATGTCACATGACTCCCTGATCAATGTGTTTTCAGAAAGACTTCTCTTTCCAAGACATGTGTGACTCTTCCAATGACGTGTTACACTTGACTCTTCATCCACCTCTTTCCAGCAACAACCGATGCGCTCTCCTGCCCTGGAAATCTGGAGAAATCCTCTGGGGCAGTGTTGTTGATTTTCCATATTCCCACTGGCCTTGGTGTAGTGACTTCTTGACTAGGCAGCGAAAAGCCTAGATAAGTTTTGGAAAACACCAGGGGCCAAGGAAGGTCTTTGCAGCTGCTCCCATTTTAGATTGAGAAGATTGGTCAGCCTCAGTGCCACATGGATGTCCTAAAGGCAGCTGGCAAGCAAAGCAGAATGCAGGCACAGGAGGAAAGTTTTTGAGTTTGTGTTCTTTTAGAACTCTTTGTCCTTTCCTCCTGGTTAATTACATATGATGATTTACAGGAAATGTACATGACATGTGTAATCTTAACGTTTAAAATACCCAGAGAAGGGGAATGGAGTGGTATTATTTTTTTAATTTTTTTTTAACGTTTATTTATTTTTGAGACAGAGAGAGACACAGCATGAACGGGGGAGGGTCAGAGAGAGAGGAAGACACAGAATCTGAAACAGGCTCCAGGCTCTGAGCTGTCTGCACAGAGCCCGACGCGGGGCTCAAACTCACGGACCGTGAGATCATGACCTGAGCCGAAGTCAGACGCTTAACCAACTGGGCCACCCAGGCGCCCCATGGAGTGTTATTTTTTAAGTGAGCATAATGTTACTGGGAGAAGACTGATGACAGTTTGGGTGATGAGAATTTCAGAATTTTGGAACTGAAAAGGACAGTAGCAATCATCTGGTCTCAGACATTTTTAAGACACTACTGTCAGCATCTTTGGAAGTGAATGCAAACAAAAAGCCAATAGATTTTGTAATTGTACCTATAAGCTGTTCTCTGCTTCAAGAGACTCTAATAAGCATATCCTGTTCAATTTAATATTTTATTCATATTTTTCCATCATTGCTGCAAAAAAAAGTCTTCATATGTAGCATTATTCTTTGTAAGCGACCTCCCTACCTGTTTCTACAGAATGAGAAGTTTATTTTTTTTAATTTTTTTTAATGTTTATTTATTTTTGGCAGAGAGAGAGACACAGAGCATGAGCAGGGAGCGGCAGAGAGAGAGAGGGAAACACAGAATCCAAAGCAGGCTCCAGGCTCTGAGCTGTCAGCACAGAGCCCGATTCAGGGCTTGAACTCACAGACCGCGAGATCATGACCTGAGCTGAAGTCAGAAGCTCAACTGACTGAGCCATCCAGGTGCCCCAAGAATGAGAAGCTTTTTAAATAATAACATCAAAGCCTACAGTAGCCAAGAAACCCAGCAAAGTTGTTAGCTCTTCTCCCAATCCATTGCTTTTTATTAAACTAACAATATGAACAGAATAGTCTATGGACTTTCTTTCAACCCTTTTAGCTGTATTACTGTAAAGTACCTACTAGTAAATTCTGGCAATCTCTAACACATGCACCAAATATAGCCTGAAACTATGTTGTTTCCTCAGTGAAATTAGAGCTCGGGGGGAAGAAACATTTATAAGAAACCCCAGAATTGGCCGTGGCTCCAGATTTTCTCTTTCCTGGGCCACCCTAACTGGCCAGTGAATACATACATGATCAATACCATCCCTGGTAGTTTCAAAATTCTGAAATTCTCATTACCAAAACTGTTTGAGTCTGCTTCCAGTAATGTTATTTCATTTTGAAAGATCACCTCATGTCCTTCCTCCAAACACTTTAAGAGGAGGATTGAGCACTGACTTCATAGGTATTAGATGTAATTTACTAAGGGAAAAGAATATAAAGGGAAGTGATTCAGAAGTCATCAGTCCCTATCTTGCTCATGTTGCCATATACATGCAAAGGATTGTTTTAGAGTAAGTCACTTAGGCTGCAGAATCCAGGTGGCATTGTGACTGCTTTCAGTCCTTCAGTGCATCATTTCTTCACATGCCGTGTGTCCTGTCCTTAGACTGCAACAAGCAGGGCGAGGGTAATCCCATCATGGTCATGGAATTGTTGCACTTCCTGCTGATGTGTTGGATGAAATAGGGACTGTGCTGGCAATGGGCATTAACGGGCAAAGGAGGAAGGTATAAATGGTGAGGAGGTTATGGCCAGCCTTTTCCTCACTGAGAGCAGGGAGCAAGTCCCTGGCACTAGTGAGCATGTGGAATGACTAGCAGTCTCACTACTGTTGATGCCTTTGTTTGGTCTGGATATCAATGGTACTTGGGACCGGAGAATTGAGAGAATTAAGTCATCAGTACGTCCGCTGCATAGGGGAAATGGACCAAGATGAAGGAGCAGTGAAAAGCCTAATAAGCTGAGAAAACCAGAGGCAGGATGCTCCAATCTAGTTAAGAAGGCAGAGGAAAGAGGTGATCATGGTCAGGGCCCAATACTTGGGTACAGGCTATGAAAACACGCATACATTTCCAGCCAAGACACATTCCAGAGCCACCAACCTTTGCTATGAGTCCATCATCTCTTGATTAGTGGGTTAGAGAATTGTGACCTAGAGGTCCCAAACATGTATCAGAACTGGACCTATGATCCTTCCAACCAACACAGTTAAAACGAGGAGCACTCTGCCTGGTTTAACTGAGGCAGTACTTACTTCTCTCTAAAACCAGATAGACCTGCCTGGATGAATAACATTTCAGATCCAAGAACATTTTCATTTCTATTTTCTTTGGCAGAGGTGTTAGCAGCGTGACTGGGTCTCTTGGTTTTGTCTGGGGGTCTACAGCTTCTTTGCCGTCGGGGTCTCCAAAGACACATTTCAACGTTTATTTATTTTTGGGACAGAGAGAGACAGAGCATGAACGGGGGAGGGGCAGAGAGAGAGAGGGAGACACAGAATCGGAAACAGGCTCCAGGCTCCGAGCCATCAGCCCAGAGCCCGACGCGGGGCTCGAACTCACGGACCGCGAGATCGTGACCTGGCTGAAGTCGGACGCTCAACCGACTGCGCCACCCAGGCGCCCCTCCAAAGACACATTTCCCCAGCACATGGGCAACAGGGGAGAGGCTTCTGCTCATGGGGGAGTGGAGGGGTGGTTCATGGACACTGAGCATGCAGTCCTGCTGGGAAGGTCTCCTTTTCCTCCAAATTTCCTTGCAACAGTGGGGAATGAAATGAGTTCTAATAGCAACCGAAAACTGGATCTAGGATTGAAGGCAACCCCAATGCATCCAGACAATTAGCATTCACTTTGCTTACTTCCATAAACTCCAAGATGGCTAGTGAGGCTGTGGGCCATCATAAACACAGAAGCTAGAGATAAAGAGGTGGTGGCATTAATTAGTTGTGTGACTCACTTAGCTCCTCTGGGACTCAATCTTCTCATCAATAAAATGGCGGGGGGTGGGTAGTGGTGGTTATATTAGGTGATTTCTAATCTTTTTTGCACATTCAACAGTCCAGTGGATCCAATTCAACTCACTTCTCAGTGAGGTTAGCCCAGTTCTGTAGAGAAATGTGTGTGGACAGACTTGGCCTTTCATAGGGTCAATGGCAGTCATTACTGCCACAAAAGGTCCAGCCCAATTTAAGGTCATTCCTTTTCACCTTGTTGGTTCTCAGTCTTGATCCACTTCAATTCCATTCCAGGGTTTCTGGGCTGTTCTAAGCCAAACACCCACCAAGTGTCTGTAATTAGATCTTCCATTCAACCTAGGAGACCTCAGAATGTGCTGTTTTTTAAGAGTTTATGTTTGAGTTCTGTAGACATTCAGATCTCCCCTAGGATGATTTCAACTATTATATGGATCTTTTCAGAACTACTCCCAGTATTGTATGGTAATTACTACTTTATTTCACCCAACAGTTTTCAAATTTGAGGTCATTTGCTTTATTTTCCATTTCAGATTAAGACATCAGTTATCTGGGCAACCCCAAATGTTTCCTTCTCAATCCCATTATGGGTAATAATACTAGCAATACTTCTTGGATTATTGGTTCTGGCCATCTTAACCTTAGCTTTATGGAAGGTAAGTTTATTTATTTTGTTTTTCTTTTTGAGTAGAGAGGTCACTGAGGGGATTTACAAGGATACACCTAGTGATTTGAAAAGACAATGCCAGAGGCACGATTTGGGGATTTTTAACAGACATAAAGGGAAAATTGTGTCTTGTTTGTCTTGGCAAACTTACTATGCCTGTGTAGCTGACATTTAAGAAGACCCAGAGTGTTTAATGCTGCTTTTATCTGGAGATTTCTTGTAAATAAATACAGAGAAAGTTAGACTTTCTTAGCTAAGACCTGTGATCTTCTTTCCAATATACTTGTGGTGAAAATGTTACTGTGAAGCCTTCTTTTTCTTGTTTAATTAATCAAGATCTCAAGCTTTTTGCTGACATGGTCCCATCAGCAATTGTTTGAGATGTTTCTTTTTAAGCACCACAAATGCAATTAATATAGTAGTTAACTGATACTTGGACTCTTGGGCCAAATAGATCATGCATGTTATATGCTTGGAATTTTTTTTTTTTTTTTTTGATCTTGCCAATAAGTCCATCTCCATTAGGAAAGCTTAATGAATTCTTTCATGTGTTTCTGGCCTGAAAACCAACACGACTGCCAAGTTTCACAGACCTTTCCATTCCAAAAAAGAAACAGTGGCACAATTACATGACTGTAAGAGTAATTAATCTAGTCACATCTTAGTTAACCACTATTGTTGGGGTTCCCCAAAATCATAGTGTATTTTTATTTTAAAACAATATGTGGCATGCTTAAAAAATGGAGAAAACCTTGCCATGTGAGTTAAATAACAGCTTTCCTGATCATTATCAATTGTTTGGTGCCATCCTGAGCCTACACGGTCTACTGAATTTTTTACCTTTTGAAATAGACCTTTGTGTTATTCTGTTATTTATACCATCTTTGTTTCCATAAATGATAGCGTGACAATTGACAATATGGTCCTAGTCTTGCAGAAAAAAAAAAAAAAAAAAAAAAAAAAAAAAGACAACTCAATAGTTATCAACAAAACCCAATGCATTTGGCTTCTGGTGTAAGAAGCAATAAATAAGAATTGAGGTCAAGATTTCTAGGGAAAGTTAGATTCTCCTAGACCAAATACTAATTTGAAATTCAGGAGGATTAAGATTCTAGAATCACTTCTTCCCCAAGTTGTTGGTTGATCTTTAGAAAGTTGCTTAGATGTTCTGGGATTTAAAGGAATGACCTTTCTAGACAAAGAATGACAATCTACTTTTCCTGTATATGCTCTGTGTTCCACAAGTACAGAGGGATATGCAAGTTTCTCCTCTCTTTTTCCTAAATTCCACCCTGAGATAGCCTATGACACACTTCAGGAGAGAGTCCCCCTTCCCTGGCCAGCAGCAGTTAGGACTTCTGCTAGCTCCAAAAAACATGCAGAAAAGCAGAGAGGAAATCTTTGGGCCTTGTTGCTATAATCTCAGGAAAAATATACGAGGTCCCTAAGTGGATTATATAACACAGGGAAATTCTCCCACTAGCACGAACACTCAGCCTTATGCAATAAATTCATCACCGCAGGTAAAGGATCCTCGGCTTTCCCCTCCTAATTCAGAGAATTGGTCAGATAATATCCACAGAACTTCAGTTTCTTATAGAAAATACAATAAAGTGAAAATTCTTAGAACGAGGAGTTTCACCCATTCCCAGAACACCTTGATTGTATAGCCCGTTTCTCTTTTTCACAGTGCGGATTCTTTGACAGAGCAAGACCACCCCAGGATGACATGAATGACAGGGAACAACTCACAGATGAGAAAACCATTGAGACATGAAAAGCAAAAGCAAAGTTCAAGACACTCGAACACTGGTCCTGTTCAAAGCAAAGAAGGAACATAAAGGTTAAACAAAGGTTTCCCTGTACCCGCCAGCGACCTAGGAAATGGAAGGGCCCCAGAAAGATCACCTCATCTGTGCTGCACTTTGGAGAAGACACCACGGAGCCCAGAGACCCTTCTGGGAGAGGTAACGTCTTCAACACTGTGGAAACCATTAGCCATCACGGAAGACATCTTTTGCTTTAGTCATTCTGCCTTTGGCAGACACTCTGAAATGGGCATGGGAACTCAAGTTGCTTTCCAGGTAAATCCAACTCAAGTCGCAGAGATGAACTATCGGAATTACGGTCAACTTCAGAAGGTGAACTAGGACCGAACCTTCCAACACTACTGTATCCAGCGGAATATTTGACACCTCCCTTGGAAAAGAAGCATTTCTAATGAAGTTATGGCTCAGGGAGACAAGCATATGTTGTTGGTACTGTGAAAGTACTTTTGAAACGACAAAGATAATCTTGTAACTGAGGATAACAATTTATTTATTTATTTTCCATGTCTCTGGGCAGATATCCTGGTCATCTAGAAGATTTGGACATTAAGATTTGGTTAGCTGGTTCTCGAAATCACTCACTAAATTTCCTTCTAAGGTAACCATCTGGTGCAGATAAATTCACAGAACATCTTTAGACAGCGCTAAGAAAAAGCAGACAGTTTCCCTTAATACTTAGCTGCCTGCCACCTGAAATCACTTGGATTCACACTTTCCGAGGACTCACATCTGCTTGATTTAGCTTGGCAAAAAGTTGTATTTATATTTCCTTTCATACCAAAAAAAAATGCTTTCTATTGACTTAATTAGCAATACACAGATTTCAAGGTCCTCTCACACCTGTGTGGTGTTTAAAAGTAAGGGTAAAATTTCTGAGTCCATTGATACAAAAACAGTTTTACAATATGGGTAAACATTATTTTTAATATCTATAAGGAACAACAGCAATACTTAGTTTGGGATTAAATAACCTATTTCTCTACTATTCCTCAAATCTATATACACAGAGAAGACACATCAAGCATACATGGGAAAGAAATACAAAGTTATGCAGATGTGAGATGAACCCAGAAAAGGGATTCCTAAGAATTTTATTTAGAATTTCCTATTCTAACCTTACTACTCATTTTTACCACTAATCTTTATAATACACAACTTCAGAAAATAACCTTTATTTAAGCTATTCTCCCATCACCTAAAATTTAACCACCACAGAAAGTTGATGTTTAAAACTCTTGTAAATAATCCATAGTCGTGTGTAATGTCATCGTTTCTGAAGTAAACTTGACCAGCCAAAGTTATATAATCTGCACAGTTTTGTAGCCTTTTTATGATCATGAAAAATTACCATGAAGAAATGCTGAACAAATTTTATATTTATGTGCAATATTTTATAGACCTACGTATCTAAAGCATGTATGTTTACACTGGCATTAGTTATTTTTTTAATTAATATCCTATTACATATAATCGAGCAAGTGGACCAAAATCCTTAGGTTTACAAAGCAGTTGGAAAAGTTGTATTCCCAGCGTCAGCAATCACACTTTATTTGAAAGATGAGCCAAACTCACAGACACTAAATTTTCTGTTGTGCCTTAGCCTGGAGGCCAGCCATTTGGCTATAGTTGCAGATCTTCCTTGGAAACCAAATGCAAGGCTCATGGAAGGATACTCTGACGCAGTTCATATTTTTCCCAGTTGTGAATTAAATCCTGTCACGGTAGCAGTTTCAAGTCTGTAAGGACAGAAGTCTGGCTCCCAGGGCATATGGCCGACTGTGGGTGAGAACCACAGGTGCCTCAGAGAGTTTGAGGGTCCCACACCAGCCTCTGCAGGTCTTCTGTGTTAGTCCTCCAGGTAGAATTGGTTTGGCAAGGAGGTGGCTGTCTATATGGGATTGGAGGAGTGCCAAACAGGTTTCTCCGCCCCCACATAACACCCTAACTCTTGTCATCATGCCTGACTTTGGGCCAATAGAGATTAGCTCCTAAGGATTTGGGGTTCTAGAAGGACCCTGAGAAAACCCACCCATTGCCTTTTAAGTTAACATTCGTGAAGAAACTCAGAACCCCTAGGGCTACATAAATGTAGGACCCCATGAGCTGGGTCACACAGACACCCGGAGGAAAGGACAGATGCCAGGAACAAGACTAGGACCTGGAACGGAGCGAGATCTGAGGTTTCCTCACAGTCTCAGCCAAGAGTGGTCCTCTCTGCAAAGACGGACATTTGACAGAGGACCATCACACACACAGTGGCCCCCTCTGCCACCTCAGATGTGGAAGCAAATGGAGGAAAGGGGGCACCTGAGGTCAGGTGAACCCACCAGTCATCGGTTCCCGAGCAGCACCGCCGCTTAAGGAACACTCTGTCAATGCACTGAGAGTATCTGCTTCTCGCCATAACACTGCCGATCACTTTCATAATTCATGTTGTACCATGCTTCTGTTAGAGTCTATGTATATCTTAGATATCCCTTTTGAAATTCTTACAGCTGGCTTAGAAGACGTGGAAAAAATGGGCAAATCAAGTTTTATACACTTGGAGATTTTTATACAGTAAATAAACATGGACTAGTCACCACTGAAACCCCCACTTTTTCAACTCCTTTTTTTTCTTCTTTTATTTAAATACATGTGTAGATATCTGTGAAGATTTTCACATGCCTATTAACCTTGTCACTAATAAAATGAAAAATTAAAGACACGATGACGTACTTGTGGTCTGTTTTGCACACAACGTACAGCTTTCCCACAATAGCAGAGATCAAACGTTTCTGTCTTTATGCTTTGATTTTTCATTATTATAAAGACATTTAATGTTGGAAGAAATCTGGAAGAGTGAGAATACAACATTTCTTTGGGATGATGAGAATGTTCTAAACTTAGATTGTGGTGATGTTTGCATAACTCCATGAATACCCCAAAAAATACTGAATTGTACACTTTAAACGGGTAAGTTTTATAATATGTGAATTAAATCCCAATAAAGGTATTTAAAAAAAATTTTTTAAGTTACTTCTAATAACTCTACCCTTATACAACTGATTACTTTTCTCTACATTGCCTTTCAAATTTTGTCCATATAAAAATCTTAGCACCTTTTTAAAGTTTATTTATTTATTTTTGAGAGGGAGAGAAAGTGCACACAAGCTGGAGAGGGGCAGAGAGAGATGGAGAAGGAGAATCCCGAGCAGGCTCCAGACTATCAGCATGGAGCCCAATGTGGGGCTTGAACTCGTGAACCATGAGATCATGACCTGAACCAAAATCAAGAGGCAGACACTTAACCGACTGAGCCACACAGGCTCCCCAAAATCTTAGCTCCTTTATGAAGCACTCTTCTGTGTCTTCAGCCAAGCTATGTCTCCAGCTGCCTAATGGCATTTTACGAATCACTACCCTTTTCCTTTTGTTTGCATGACTATCTTCCAACTGCAATGACCCTTAATGCGAGCAGGAAACATAATCTTTTCACCTTTGTGTCTCCAGGACCTAGGACCAACCTCTGCTATATAGTCAGTGCTCACAAACATTTCTAGAATAAATAAATAAATATACCTATGTGTATAATAATAATCACAGGGAACATGTACTTTTGTAATCTACTTCCATTACAAAGCCCCAGGGTGCACACATAGTGTGCATACAATGTTATTTTAATAGTTACCCCAAGTTCTTTTCAATTAGTAGGCCATCTTTTGTTTAAACATCCCCCCTCTCATCAGAAATAGTTCTTCACAGATTCATTTATTAAGAATAACATTAAATTGAGGGGCACCTGGGTGGCTCCGTCGGTTAAGCGTCCAACTTCAGATCAGGTCATAATCTCACGGTTTGTGGGTTTGAACCCCACATCCGGCTCTGTGCTGACAGCTCAGCCTGCTTTGGATTCTTGGTCTCCCTCCCTCCATCCCTCCCCCACTCATGATCTGTCTCTGTCTCTCTCAAAAATAAATAAACATAAGGGCACCTGGGTGGCTCAGTTGGTTGAGCGTCCAACTTTGGCTCAGGTCATGATCTTGCAGTTTGTGGGTTCAAGCCCCACGTCGGGCTCTGGGCTGACAGCTCGGAGCCTGGAGCCTATTTTGGATTCTGTGTCTCCCTCTCTCTGCCCCTCCCCTGCTCATGCTCTGTCTCTCCCTCTCTCTCAAAAATAAATAAACATAAAAAAAGTTTAAAAAATAAAAATAAATAATAAACATTAAAAAAATTTTAAGAATACCATTAAGAATAATTTTAATAATTAACTTTAATAATTTTAAGAATAATAAGAATAATTTTAAGAATAACGTTCATCCATGAGGCTTCTCTTGGTTACTTCAATGAATGAACTTCACATGTCTTTACTTGGTCAAAGTATAGAAGCTTTTTGTGGTTCTTGAAAAGATTGCTTCTTAAGAGCACTAGATCAATTTGCATTAACCTAAATATACTGTTTCCTTCATAATTCTGTCAGTATTCTAAAATATTTTGGTAATTGTTTCCAAGAAATACTTTAATTGTATTTCACTAGAATTCAGTTATTTGATATAGACATTTAATTTTGAGTTCTAATATTTATCAACCATTCAATATAGACCAATGTGCTGGCCATACCCTGTAAGACATTTAAAGACCTGCCATTTGGCCAGTATCCATGAATCCCAACAAGAAGAACCCCACATTCCCATGCCTTCCTTATAGCCTAAAGCAAGCTATCAGATGAATCTCTCACTTCATATTATATATCACTCACACTTCAAAGCCTACATATATATATCTAAAGGCTTATGGTGGTTTTCAAGGATGCCTGTGTATCCCAGATGAAAAAAATGCAAAACCAAATCTGAGATTTGGTAATATCGGAGCTGACCATCAAAGCACTATCCCAGTACCAACTTGCCTGAGTGGGGCAAGACTTCCTGTGACACACACAGAAGGGTCTATTCTAGGCCAACCACACTGG